ACTGATGTGACTTTAGCAGAATATCCTTAGGAATAATTTTATTGACTCCCCTGACCCCTGTCCTGTCTCTGGGCTATCCAGCCCCTGGTTCCTGGTCATCCAGGCAGTGTCAGGCCCCAAACTAGACCAGGCTTTAGTTGGACATTCCCACAAATTCTGTGCCTTATTGCCCCAGCACCTCTTGCAGGCAGGCTAGATTGTAGGTGGAAGGTCTGGTGGTTGGATTGGTGTTCCAGTCCCACAGGTCCTTGCCTGGTTACAGAAGATGGCTGGTTCAGGCTCCATATCCTCCTTCGTTACTAGGAACCTTTGCTAGGGTCACCCTCATAGAATCCTGGGAGTTTCTACTGAACTAGGTCTCTACATTGCACCCCTTCCCCCATACCCTCCAATTCCAGCAATTTCCCCATACTCTCTCCTTCCATTCCTCCCTCCTCACCTGATCCTTCTTGTTCCCATTGCCACTGGCCCTCAGACCCCTTGCAAAAATCTATTCTATTTCCCAACTCCCAGGGTGATCCATGTGCCTCCCCCCTGAATTCTTTGTTACTTAGCTTTTCTGGGTCTGTGAATTGTAGCATGATTATCATTTATTTAACAGCTAATATTTACTTATAAGTGAGTATATACCATGATAGTCTTTCTGGGTCTGGGTTACCTAACTCTGGATGATTTTTCCTAGTTCCATCCATTTGCCTGCAAATTTCATTATGTCATTTTTTTTTTAACAGTTAAGAAATACACCATTGTGTAATGTACCACATTTTCTGTATACATCCATCTGTTGAGGGACATCTAGATTGTTTCCAGTTTCTGGCTATTATGAATAAAGTTATGAACATTGTTAAACAAGTGTTTTTGTGGTAGAATGGAGTGTCTTTTTGGGTATTTGCTTAAGAGTGGCATAGCTGGGTCTTGAGGCAGAGTGATTCCCGGTTTTCTGAGAAAGCACCAAATTGATTTCCATAGCGGTTGTACAAGACTGCACTCCCATCAAGGGAGGAGTGCTCGCCTTGCTCCACTTCCATGCCAGCATGAGCTGTTTCTTATGTTCTTAACCATTCTGACAGATATAAGCTGAAATCTCAAAGTAGTTTTAATTTGCATTTCTCTGATGACTAAGGATGCTGAATGTTTGTTTTTTTGGCCTTTTACAAATAGAAGAGTCTATGTAGATAATGTACCCCATTTTTAATACTATCACTTTATGTGTTTATAGTTTCACGAGTTCTTTATATATTTTGGGTATTAGCCATCTATGGGCTGTGGAGTTGGTGAATCTCTCCCCATTCTGTAGGCTGCTGTTTTCCTTGGTCGATGGTGTCCTTTGCCTTACACAAGCTTCTCAGCTTCCGTGTATTAATCGCTGATCTTAGTGCCTGTACTATTGGTGTTGTTTAGAGAGTCTTTTCCTGTGCCAATATGTTCAAGACTATTCCCTACTTCCTCTTCTATTAAGTACAGAGTATCTGGCTTTATGTTGAGGTCTTTGCTTCTCTTGAACTTGAATTCTGTGCAGGGTGATTAATATGGATATTTGCATTCTTCTAATGCAGATAGCATTTGTTGAAGATGCTTTCTTTTTCCATAGAGTATTTCTGACTTCATAAAAAAATCAGGTGTCTCTAGGTATGTGGATTTATGTTTGGGTCTCATTCAATTGTGTCTGTTTTTATGCCAATACCATGCTGTTTTTATTGCTATAGTTCTTTGGTACAACTTAAATCAGGGTTGGTGATATCTCCAGCAGTTCTTCTGTTGTTCAGGATTTTTCTAGCTATCCTGTTTGTGTTTCCATATGAGGCTGGGAATTATCCTTCCAAGGTCTGTAAAGAATTGTGTTGGAGTTTTGATGGAGATTGTATTGAATATGTAGACTGCTTTTGGTAGGATGCCCATTTTTTGGTAGGATTACTGTTAATCCTACCAATTCAAAAGCATGGCAGACCTTTCCATGTTCTGATAGCGTCTCCAATTTCTTTCTTCAATGACTTGAAATTGTTAATCATACAAGTTGTTCACTTGCTTGGTTAGTTATTTCAAAATATATTATTATGTATATTATTATTCTATTATTTCTAGCTACTGTGAAAGGCGTTGTTTCCCTGACTTCTTTCTCAGTCTATTTGTTATTTGTATATATGAAGACTACTGATTTTTGTGAGTTGGTCTTATATCCAGCCACTTTGCTGAAGGCGTTTATTAGCTGTAGGAATTCCCAGGTAAAATTTTTGGGGTCATTTATGTACACTATCATATTATCTGCTTAATTTCATGTACTTAATTTATCCTCTTCTTTTCCAGTTTGAATACTTGTGATCTCATGTTTCTTATTGCTCTGAGACTTCAAGTACGATATTTAATAGGAATGGAGATAGTGGACAACCTTGTCTTGTTCCTGATTTTTGTGGAATTGCTTTGCATTTCTCTCCATTTAAGTTAGTGGCTATGTGTTTTCTGTAAACTTCCTTGCTTTCTACTTTGCTTGAGACAGGGTCTGATATTTGCTCTTGAACATACTAAGCTACCTATCCTCCAAGCTTTTAGGGATTTTGCTTTTTGTCTCTCATCAATAAGAACATGTGGATTACAGATAGATAGTTACCAGGCCCAGCTTTAAAGCAAGTGATCTCAACTGAGATATTCACACTTAAGTAGCAAGTGCTTTACCACCTTCCCAATCCCAGTTACTCTTTGAAAAACACTGTTTTATGCTAGGCATGGTGCTGCACACCCTTAATCTCAGCACTCAGGAGGCAGAGACAGATGGTTTCCAAGGTCAGCCTGCTCCATGAAGTTCCAGACCAGCCAGGACTACAGAGTAAAACCCTATCTCAAAAAGAAGCCACCCCCACATACAGCCAGTGAAAGCCGTGATATCCCTATATGATAATGGAGGGTAATTTTGGAAACTAACCTGAAGCAAGCTTGGCATTGCTGGCTATGATGAGCTGCAAAGGATGAATTCAAATAATGGAGAAGCACTCAAATACAGGAAAAATTTTATTTGATGAATTTCATAAAGTATAGAAAGTTGAAGCTATAGAGTGAGTGCAGGATGGTTACTGATGATGCAGCAGAGTGAGATGACAGGAACAGCTGCACTGTCTCTTGCTGCTCACTCCTCACAGGAACCTAGCAGTCACCACCACAAATACATCACCGGTGATGGCTTATTTTTGTAGAATATCATTCAAGTTATTTTGCATCAAACACCACCTTAATAATGTATTAATTTTATGAAAATGATTCATCTTAAGATAGAAATAGCACTTGGGAGGCAGAGGCAGGTGGATTTCTGAGTTCGAGGCCAGCCTGGTCTACAGAGTGAGTTCCAGGACAGTCAGGGCTACACAGAGAAACCCTGTCTCGAAAAAAAAAAAAGATAAAAATAAAAATGTCCATAAAGGGAAGCCAAAATTAATACAACACGTATCTCACTGGTTGTTTTATTTATACCTGCTTATATTTTAAACCGATTTCTGTTTACTGGGGTAAACAGAAGCATAGAATTTCTCCCAGGCTCCAAACTTACTTTGAAGACTCTGTTATAAAATCTGTAGTAGCTTTAACCCCTGTCCAACAAGTCTCGAGCTTCTCAGAAACATTCAGTTCCAGACTGTTCTGCAGTAGAAATAACTTCAGTCTTAATACCAATGACAGGGCTAAGCACAGGTTTTTCCATAGTGTGATTTGTTTCAGCTATAGTCTCAAGCTACTGCTGGGGTTTAGGTCAACTCTGGGAGCTTTTCTCCATTCCAGAGCTTCAGACTCAAAGGAAAGGTAGAGGCAACAGAACCATAACTTCTGCGTCTCTCCTGACCCCAGAGCAAACATGGTAGTTGCAGTTCTCTTTGGGGCACAGCTGGCTGTCCTGGGTGTCCTGCACTGTTAAAGCTGAGCGGGGTGCTGACTGGCAACTGTGCCAACTAACGTGGTGCTTGTCACCATCTTCAGTCTACAGCCTTGAGATGCGGCAAACAGGTTTGAGGCCGTTGGTAAATTAACAGTAACATGTTTTGCATCATACTCTCCTTTGACAGATAAAAGAAGTTCGTTATCAACACTGAACTGGCCAAAGAATTTGAACGAATATGCAAGGGGGAGCTCTTCTGGCGTTTCGTAGTAAAGGTTTAGCATATGAAATTAGTACCAGAATACTACAAAAACAAAAACAAAACCTCCACTGATTCCTTTCTTAAGTGAATGCAAGAAAATCATGTTCCTAAAAGTATGAAATACCCTTCCTTTTAAAACATGTTTCTGAGCTACAAAACAGAAGGAACATACCAGTGGATGTCTGACTTGTTTACTGTGGTGCTGGGAATGGAATCTAAGTTTCCAAACACCTTAGCCAAATAGTCTGCTACTCCCAAGTGCTGGGATTAAAGGCGTGCGCCACCACCACCTGGCGAACGTGGATAATCTAATATCCTTGAATTAGTGAAACAGATAAGCAGACAGTTAATCTGTAACACACAATCAGTCGTCACTGTCACTCTGTGATTTTTGACTTAGCCGCAGCGAAGGCCAGAAGTCCCACTCACACAGGAGGAGGGAGTGGAGAGCTGCACAGTCATCTTCGAGCAACTGCCATCTTCTCAAGAGAACCTGACAAAGCCTCGCTGCACTCTGTCCTACAATCTTAGGTGTGCACAGAGTCATATGCTTAGAACTAGGTGGTAGTAGTTCTTTAATAATCATTCACAACTCTTAAAACATTATACATAAAAACAAATAATACTGAGTCTCACTGATAGAGCGCCTGGAAACTAGAATTTGGAATTCAAGGAATTAAGATTAGTGTGTATCTGATTAGTCATTCATAGTACATTAACTTATTGCTGATAAAGTTCTTTTGCTGGCAAAAATTTAGCATTTTAGACCGTTTCATTTTCATTCAATAACCATACCTGATAATATACCTTACAATGAGGCATAAGCATAGTTCACTGTATTGTGGCAGTCTGCCTTCAAGTAGATAACATGCAATAACAGAATTCTTAACAAAAGTCCTTTATTCTGAAGGTTGGTTTACAGCAAGTCAAGAGCAATTCTAAGTGGGCCAAAGAAAGACGTTATGGCTTATAGTTCAATTTATATAATTAAATATATTTGCAATGTTTAAATACTGTCCAAACTTGTTTTTTATTGATACAATTGAACTTTACAATATTGTCATAATAAAACTAAGAACAGAGTCAGGAAGGTAATAATGGGTGGGGAATGGGGTGTGGTTGGATTGAAATATATTAGCCAGGTTGAAGCATGCAAAAGATAAGACAGATGCAGTAAATTAATATGACAATGGTATTGAATTTACCCACAAGTTTACATACTTGGCCACAAAAATATTAGCAAACAGCAATTTGAAGTCTAGTGAATGGCCCTAACTGACTTGGACATGAGATGCAAAACTGCCTTTGCACTTGTAGGATCTGTTTTACAGCATTGTTAAAGAAGTTGGTGTCAGTATAAGCTTAATACCCACACTGCACAAGACAATGGTTAGAAACGTGCTCTCCTAATTGCTCTGTGACTTAAAAAGCACTAATGGATTAACTACACAGGTCACTGAAGGACCAAAATTCCTTAATATTCACATTAACTTTCCCCACGAAAAGCTTCAAATGTAATCTAATAAAAAAAATAGAGTTCTCAAGGCAAATCTTTAGCATAATTTACAGAAGCAGATTTAAATAGAAGAGTCCCAAACCACACTCATCCTAAACTACACATAACCAAGAGTGACCCCTTTCTCTACCTTGATATTAAAGTATAGTGGCCTCAGCAAAGGCTGCAATGCCACTAGAAGTCCCATGAGCAGAAGGGACAAATCAGACAAAGAGATTGTTACTATCTCTTTATTTCCAAATTTTTATATATTCACATTCAAATTAAAGAGGAAAAAGAGTTCATGTAACTGTCTGTTTCCCATGGCCTCTGAGAAAGTCTCAACTCCTCCAGAGATTTCAGAAAGTAATTGGCCTTTTACAACAGGATGGTGACCGCAAATTTGAGGACAAGTGAACTTGTTCCCACAAAGTCCTACTGTCCCTTTAACAAGCAGATGAGTCCATTGGTGAGAGAGTCAAGATGCTCCTGTCATTGGCATAGAATGTATCCGATGCATTCCACAACCTGAAAGGAACAATAAGAGAAAAGTTTGGCTCACTATAATCAATGTTCAGTTGAAAACCAAAACAAAACTAGGACCTAAAGTAAAATGTAGGACTAAAAAATTAAATTTTAAATTAATCACTGATTCATTGCGAAATGCTAAAGAGTTCTTCAGATTAGCAGTGAATCCTATTCTAGATTATACAAAAACTTGAGAAAAATTATGCTGTAGTCATACAGAAATTAGCTCCAACCTCTGCATTCCTCATCAGTGCCGGTTTCTAGGTAATAAACATAATGTGCTTTTGAAATCTTCATATCTCAGTAAGAAGTAAGTATGCCATTACGATCGCACAGAGCCAGGTGCTGGGTGCTAGGGAGATGAATCAGGGGAGCTGCCAGCATCTGCCATGCAAACAGAGAGCACGTGCGGACTCACAGCATCTACTTAAGAGGCTGAGCATGGCTGTGGAGCCTGGGCTGCCAGCACTGGAGGGCAGAGATGACAAGGTCCCAAAGACTCACTGGTGAGCAGCCCTACCAAGTTGGTGAGGACTGGGTTCAGGGAGAGACACAAGGTGAACAACTGAAGAAGGCACTAACTCCTACCTCTGGTTTACACACACACACACACACACACACACACACACACACACAAATAAGAAGGTACATGTATACCACACACACAAACAGCAAAAGTAAAGAAAAAATGTTTAATGTTACTGAAAAATAAACTTGTATTTTGACATTACAGAAAAACAAACAAAGCTACCAAAAGCCTTGTAATGAAATAGTGAACATCCATATTATCCATATTATTAGTCACTTCTTTTCAGGTATAAATTCTACTGTAAGGATTTCAACTTAATTAGCCAGAATGTCATAGATGGTTAGCATCAGAGGGTATCAAAGACACTTGCAGATTTTCACTAGTATGACAAGGTAACTACTAGATGATTGACAGACAAGGACTAAGCAACTCAATATCATACTTACAGCTGTCATTTTGAATTACCTTGAATTAACTTAAGATGAAGTAATAACTCCATTAAACAGACTGCCATGCTTAAAACACATGCCCTTAGCCCAAGAACAGTATTAAAAAAAAAAAAAAAAAACAACTGAAAGCGCCTAACTTTGAACACACACAGCACGAAGCTCGTTAAAGCTGACAGCCCTGGCTCATTTGTCCCCAGCACCTGGTTTCCCAGCGGCTCCCTGTGTGTGCAGCTTCAGCTGAGGTCAGCGGCCAGGCAGGCAGGCAAACACAATTACAGACGGTAAGTCTCGATCTAAGACTCGGTGGCTTTCAGAGAAGCCTGGGACGCTCCACCTTGACTCAGGGAGGGTCTTGTTTACAGCGCCCAAGCACAGAGAACTCAAATCTGGCAGGTACTAGGCAGCCAACATAAAGTAAACAAAAGTAAGAATATGACTATTTCTTGCTGAGTATGGCAATCTGTATGTAGAAAGATGAAACTAGATCCATCTTTGTCACCTTGCACAAAGCTTAAGTCCAAGTGGATCAAGTTCCTCAACATGAAACCAGGCACACTGAATCTAATAGAAGAGAAAGTGGGAAAGAGCCTCTAACTCGTTGGCACAAGGGGGAAATTTCCTAAACAGACCTCCAAGGGCTTAAGCACTAAAACCAATAATTGATAAACGAGACCTCATAAAACTGGAAAGCTTCTATAAGGCAAAAGGCATAGTCAATAGGACAAATCGGCAACCTACAGATTGGGAAAAAGTCTTCACTAACCCTACATCTGATAGAGGGCTAATAGCCAAAATATATAAATAAAGAACTCAAGAATCTAACGTACAAAAAAACAACAAACAACTCAATCAAAAAATGGGGTATAGAACTAAACAGAGAATTCGTAACAGAGGAATCTGGAATGGCTGAGAAGCACTTAAAGAAATGTTCAAAGTTCTTAGTTATCAGGGAATTGCAAATCAGAACGACCCTGAGATTCCACCTTACATCAATCAGAATGGCTAAGATCAAAAACTCAGGTAACAGCACATACTGTCAAGGATATGTAGAAGAGGAACACTCCCCCATTGTTGGTGGGATTGTGAATCAGTAAAACTACTCTGGAAATCAATCTGGTGGTTCCTTAGAAAATTGGAAATAGATCTATCTACCTGAAGACCCAGCTATACCACTCTTGGGCATATACCCAAAAGATGACCCACCAGGCAGCAGGGACACGTGCTCCACTATGTTCATAATGGCCTTGTTTGTGATAGCCAGAAGCTGGAAACAACCTAGATGTCCCACGACAGAAGAATGGATACAGAAAATGTGGTTCATCTACACAATGGAATACTACTCAGCTATTAAGAACAATGACATCCTGAGTTTTGCAGGCAAATGGACAGAACTAGAAAATATCATCCTGAGTGAGGTAACTCAGACCCAAAAGGGTATGCATGGTATATACTCACTAATAAGAGGATATTAGCCAAAAAGAGTACAGAATTCCCAGGATACAGTCCACAGAACTCAAGAAGCCAAAGGGACCAAATGAGGATGCCTCAATCCCACTTGGGAGGGAGAAGAAAGCAATCACAGGAGGTGAGGGGAAGAAACCTGGATGAGAAAGGAAACAGGGAAGGGAAAAGGGGAACATGATTCGGTATGGGGGTGTGTGGTGGGCAGAACAGGACTGAAGCTCTGAGGGCCAGCAGAAGGAAACAGTATTCTTTTAACTATAACTGCCCACACCCCAGTGGAGTTGAATGTGAAATTCTAATCAGCAGGAAGCCTTCATTAGTTTTTCCTCTTTGTAAACACTGCTTACACAGAGAAAAATTTATCAGCTGATGTATCCATTGTTTTTCATCTTTTCAAAACAACACATGCATGCATTCATGTGAAATGTCACTTTGGAAGAATATTAAACACCTGAAACACCAATTAGCTGATGATTTCTTCCTTCCTCTCATGCTCTCTTCCCAGGGCCTACAACATGCTAGGAAAGTGCTTTACCAGTCAACTACATAAGCCATCCCAGTCTGTCTTTTGAATTTTGAGGCAGGCTCACGCTAAGTTATCTAGGCAGGCCTTGAACTTGGCAACCCTTCTGCCTCCTCCACTTCCCAAGTTCTGAGGCTGCCAGTGTGTATTATGATGATGGTTAAAGTATTAACTGCCAACCTGACAATCTGGAATCATCAAGGAGATGACCTGTGGGCTTGTCTGTAGGATTATCCTGATGGCATTACTTGACACATAACTGAAACTGTGTGGGACCACAGCCTTCAGCAGGGGATCCTAGACTGTATAAAACGGAAAACAAAAGACAAACAACAACCACCACAGCATGAGCAGAGCAAGAGCATGCAGTCATCTGCTTCCTGACTATGGATGCAATGTGAGCAGCTGCGTTCAGTTTCCTCTACCTTGACGGTCCTGCCATGATGAACTGTAAGCAGAATAAGCACTTTCTTCTGTAAGTTGCTTTTGTCAGAGGTTCAATAACATTAATAGGAAATGAAACTAAGGCAATCACAATGCCAGGCCTTTGCTGTTTTTCTGTTCTGTTTTTGTTTTTAGGTTTGTTTTTTTTAAAAGAGTCTCATTAAGTGGTTCAGCCTCAAACTAAGATGCCCTTGTCCCAAATTTCCAAGTACCTATGATTGACAGTAGGCTATGTTTTTTTTTATGTTATTTGTTTAGTTTTTATTATGACTGGAAGCAAAAATTCACAGAGATGTGAGTCAGTGCTGAAATACAGCTCCTTAGGCTAGACCGTGGTATGCCCTTTACACAGCACCATGCTGCTCCCTTGGAAACTGAATTTACTGTAGGATATACTCCCCTAACATAAGTTGAAAAACATACAAAGTACTTTGTGTCTGGACAGTAAAAACTCAGCAGACAGGTCCATGTGCACAGGGAAGCTGTTCTGTCTCCAGAGCTGCTCAGTATTGTTAACGCTAAAGCAGCCCTAGGTTGCCACATCTTTGTTGTTGTTGTTGTTGTTGTTGTTTTGTTTTGTTTTGAGACAGGGTTTCTCTATATAGCCCTGGCTGTCCTGGAACTCACTCTGTAGACCAGGCTGGCCTCGAACTCAGAAATCCACCTGCCTCTACCTCCCAAGTGCTGGGATTAAAGGCATGTGCCACCACTGCCCGGCTGAGTTGCCACATCTGATATTGGAGGGCTCAGCCTTGCCCTGTCCCTTCAAACTGGACATGAGACACAATAAAGGCTGCTCCATATCAAAACATAAATGCTAAAACTATTTTATACATATATGTAGAAACTATAAGTGCTAGAGTTTGATACAATGGGCTACAGTAATGCTCACACAGCCCTCTGAAAAATACCAACCAGCTCTGTGCCTTGTGAGCATCTGCACAGACTTTTTGGATTGCTCAGCGAGAAGGAGAAAATGACAACATCAACCAAAGGGACAACCTGAGATGCTGATAGCCCTGAAAGCCATTTGGTGCCTGTCAGAAAAAGAATTAATTACTAAAGCAAACATTTTATTAGGAAAAACCACCTTAGAAAAAAGAATACGGCATAATTCTCAGCAAATAGAAATACTGACAGTAATAACCACCTTTAAGAAGACATGCCGAAATAATTCCAATAACCCCCAGGCACATTCCCAGGGGGATAGTTACAAAAATAGCAGTACAAAGGACAGGGACACAGAACCTACAACTGATTGCAAGAAAGCAAGAGTATACAGAAAACGGGGGGGGGGGGGGGGGCTCATTTAAATTAATTCTAGTGTTGTGGATAGCCCTGGTCTTGTATTTTGATACAAGCTAATTCCGCTTTCCTGGGAGGGGCTGCAGAAAAGGAGTGAATCAGTATACAGGTGACTTCTTGTGAACCTTCTGCCCACCTTTGTAAAGTAAAGGCTAGAGCTGGTGACTGGGCAGTGGAAGGGGAGGTGGAGCGAAAAAGTTTGGGGGAGAGGGAGGGAGAGAGAGAGGAAGAAGGAGAAAGGAGGAGAGGCTGAGACAGCAGCAGATATTCCTGTCTCTAGCAGCTATTCGTATTAGGATAGGTAACTGGGTTAACAATTCTAATTGTGCGGGCATCTTGTGGATTGAGTATTTGCTGATATATCAATCTATTTGGTTAACCTTAAGCATTAAGAGTCTTCTTTCTCCCAGGTATTGCGAGGATGGTGGTTACTGTCTGTGGTTGAGCCGAGCACTATGAGGATGATGGAGTTGCACCAGGGACCATGTCTAGAACCATGGACGCCATGGAGCTGACTGGAGGAGGCAGCAGCCACACCAACGTTTCATGTGTGGGAACTTAGAGTGGGAACGTGGCTGAGCTAGCTGGAAAAGCTGTGCTGCCTTTTCTAATACCTCCCGAAACATTCTAGTCTTTTTAATCACTGGAAAGTATATGTATTTCTACTAAAGACAATTTTCTACTGAAGTAAAAACTATGTAGAAGTTTTAATATAATATCTTAATCTAAACTCCGTCTAGGTTCCAAGCAATAAAGAATGTCATTAGGTAAAATAATAGTGTAAGACCTTTCTGAAATATGTTTTTGGAAAACTTTTACCCAGGAACATGAGAGAACCATCTTATTTTCTTTTTAAACGTTTATGTTTAAGATACCAACATCCCAATACATTTACCTGTTCACTGTAACCCATTATATACAATAAAATTACTCCTACATTACAAAAATATTTTGGATCATATGCCATATTCAAGTCAGAATAAATGAGGCTAAATCCATAGGCAATGTATTTACAAAGTAATGGCAAAGCGAAAGATAAAGTAAGTTGAGACGTTCACAAGAAACTACATTTCATATTATGGGAATAATATCACACCTGCTATTTTTCAAAATGTAAAGCTAACCAAATATTAAAAGGAATTTTCCCAAAGGACAGACAGACTGCTTCGTTTGTACCTTGCCCCTAGCATATCCCCAGGCTCTCTTGTGCCACAGATTTGTAGGTCTTAAGATCCCCGACCAATACCCACTGCACTGCTGCTCTGACTTGGGGAAGTGGTGTCAGACCAAGCACAGATGCCATTTCACGCTCTAGTACCTAATAATCATACGCACTTTGGGTAAACATAAAGAAATTTTTAAAAAGAAGAATTTTAACTGCTATTTACACCAAAATAGATTTTTGGACGATGAACAAGCTGTGATAAATCTAATTAAGAAATAGACAAGAATAGACAAAAAAACCCAAACAAACCAAAAACAGAAACAAAAAAACCCCAGAGATTCTTCTGATCCATAATTTATCAAAGTTAGTATTAGTAGCACTGTTAAAACCTGTTTGGATACTAACTTTTAATTGGCAATAAATGCCAAATAAAAGAATCTTAAAATCAAAACTCATTTTAAAACTTCATTACAGACATCCTTAGGAAGGAACATGGAGCAGAATAGCCTTTCCCGTGTAGCCCTGAAAGGCTGACTTGCTTTGGGGAACAAAGGTAATGAGGAAAAGCAAAGGTGCTTGACGTTGAGTGTGGAGGTTATTTTTGTAATCACAAAAAGCGTAGGAAAGCAACAATGAAACCAACCCCCTCACAGAGAATAAAACAGGAGCCCAAGTGAAATAATAATGAAAAGAGCTGTAGGCCAAGGAAGAGCGCCATCCATCCACATGCCTGTTCACCACAGCTTAGAAAGGCTAAGACCAGTAACTCCTTCACAGGGTGGAGAGTCTCCTAAAGATGTCTTCCCTTCCTTTGAGTGAAAGGAGCAAACCACAAAGCTACAAAGTGGCATCTAGGAATCAAGGAGCGATTGCTGTGATTCAACAGCAGACCCTGCTTCACTGGGACTCATCTGCAGCACCAGCTACACAGTGAAATCAATGTCACACCTGCTGATATGGTTGGGACTACACCGTCCTATGACTCGTTCCAGCATTCTTCCAACAGATGCGCACGGGGTCTCTCCTTCTGGGAAACAGCATATGGAGTCCAAGCACTTGACACTTGAATGTGCTTCAGCAAGCTGCGGAAGAGGAGCAGGTGAGTTATTCACAGATTCCGACCTCACAAACCATTAAGAAATCAAAGCAAGTACTTTAAAACTGAAAGTGACTGATATAAACACACACACTTTACTACAATATGGCATGTACAGAACTCTTAAGAGTACAATCATATATAAACATTTAAAACCCCCCTGTTCTAATCAGAAGCCCAGGAAACTATTGGTATAAAAATGAATAGACAGGAACTTCTGTGTGCAAAGGTTTATTATCTTGCTACTTAATAATTTGTTATGGTCAAGTGGGCTTATGTCAACTCCTTAGGAAGGCAGTGAACGCTACTTTATCTTTGGAGTTCCTGAGATTATGACTGAAGAACAAATGCCCAGCAACTGAGAACAGTGGAGTATAAAACTATCTTGACGACTGGGAAATAACAATCTGGCAGGACCTAGATTATCTGGTAAGAATAAGATTAACGATATAGTAAGAACCTTAGTAGCATTTCTTATGTGCCAAAACCAAATACCCAACACACAGCTAGTCCATCCTCACTTGCCTGACGTGATGAGCAGCTCTAAGGTGCTGCCTACGCCCATTAGCAACTTTTTTTTTTCTTCAAATAATGAGCAGGTGGCACATGGATCAAAATCTGTCAAGCAAGCTTGTAGTACTATTAAGATTTAAAGTTGAATTTATCAGAGTTCTAAGATTTCTGATTTAGGCATAAATAGGCCCAGCAAGGTAATTTAATACTACAAGAACTTTAGTTATTAAAATGAGGGTTAATGGTCTGACCACATGGCTCAATGAATCCCAACCCTAGTTTTGCTAGTCAAAAGTTCTCTCTCCCTCTCTCTTCCCCCCTTTACTCCCTCCCTCCCCCCAGACCCCTTCCTCTCTTTCTCATCAAGCTGTGTCTCACTAGTCCTAGATGGCTTGGAACTCAGCAATTAGGCTGGCTTTGAAATGACAAAGATCTACCTCCACCTTCTGAGTGCAAGTTTACAAATTTACTTGAATTAAATTTTCTTTATGTATATAATGTCCTGTATGATACGCTGTTAGAAGGTACAGAGAAGAAGAAGAGAATAAATTTGGTAACGCTCACATCTACAAGGTTGGGAGCCACCACGTGCCATGTGAGGATGGTAACAAAGGAGAGACACTGAAAACTCACACTGGACAGAGACAGGCGGGTATGTAAATAACGGGGGATTTGGAAGGCAAGCAAATGGTGGAGGGCTACAACATCCATGTATGGAGTCCCTGACTATTCCAAGCAGTGGGAGGTAGAACAGGGTTTCTTGTTTGGTAAGTGTCTGGCTGCACCTAAACCCTGGGCTCTGCTGAGCACTGAGAAAGCAAACCTCACATGTTCTTTAGTCTAAACATCCTTGTTTTAGGACTTGGTTTAATGCAACATTGCTTTAATTGTGTTCTGTCAGATGTTTACATAATCATTTCATTTTTAAAAGGAGAGGGTTTCTATGACTAAATAAGTACCCTGGGAAACACTACACTACTCCAACAAAGCTTCAAACAGGCTCTTAGGCTGTCGGGAAATGTGCTTAAGTCTCAGCTGGTTGAGCTTGAGACCATCATTCCACAATCTGCGTCATTTTTTTTCACACAACGTATTTTGATCATATTCTTTCTCCTCCCCAACTCCTCAAAGATCTTCCCCATCTCCCTACCCACCCAACTTCATTTCTCTCTCCCTTAAAAATACAATAAAAAAACCAGCAAGACAAAAAAATACCAATACAATACACACACACACACACACACACACACACACACACAGAGTTTTGTGTTGACCAACTACTTAACCCAGTGTACCAAAAGAACCATGAACCATTAACTACCACAGAAGGGACATAAATTTATAATGAAGAAATCTGGGTGATGCTGGCTTAGGCAAAAGGCTCTCTTCAATTCCCAGTTTGCACTTTGCTGATTCCTGTGCTCCCACAAGCTCAAGCTTCTTTCCCGAAGAGAGGATGCTCCCCTACAGGCTCCACACCAACCAATGTGGGCACTGTAGTTCCTGCTCGTGGGCCTGTTTCAGGTTAAATATTACTATCTCCAACTGGAAGCAATCTCTGAATTCTTTTTATGGCTTTTGAAGCATCCTTGAATGGTACAAGCCCTGAATGTCAACTGAAGAAGGAAGTGGCAGTTGTCAGATGAAGCAACCCTGGACTCATAGAAGGTGAAGGTGAGAAGTCAGAGCAGCATGAGGCACAGTGACATTGGGGGCTCAATGCTAACCTCTACCGACTGTCACTGGGCATGAAGGAAGTGCTTCTGGGCTGGCAGAGACAGAGTTAAGAAAAGCTTGAAAACAATTTGACAAACTTACTCTGCAACAGTTAAATCTAATAAGTTTTTTTTTAAAATCAGGGATTATTTTCTATATATTATATTTTTAATAATTTGGTTTTATCACAAACATAACAGTATTGGTACTTGAAGAACAGAATATTTAAAAATAACCATCAAACTGACGTTTTAACACATTCACCCAGGAAGTATTGAGCTATCCCAAGAACTAGAGAGGAAGGGTTGTATCTGGAACTTCTAAGTTTAATGTTCCAGACTTTGCTCATAGCTGCTGTTCAGCCAGCTAAGAAGGGTCTCTTGAAAGTCACATCCACAGGTCACCAGGATGTTTGTGTCCATCTATGCACTGAAGAATAAATACTTGAATCTGAGCTGGGCAGTGGGTGGCGCATGCTTTTAATCCCAGCACTTGGGAGGCAGAGATAGGCGGATTTCTGAGTTCAAGGCCAGCCTGGTCTACAGAGTGAATTCCAGGACAGCCAGGGCTACACAGAGTAACCAACCCTGCCTTGAAAAAACAAAAACAAACAAACAAACAAACAAACAAAGCTTGAATCTGTATCTGGTTTCAAGTACTGTCTTACATCACTTAAAATTATGACTAAATGTTAAACTCTAGATACCCAAGAGAGCAACACGTCAAAACTATTATATAACGTCCCTTTTCGGATCATCTAATGAGTGAAATAAAAATACCCCCTGCAAAAAAAGAAAAAAAAAAAACAAAAGAGATAGTAACAACAAAAATTCAGGTGCACTGTAAATGGTGAATACTGTAAAGCTATCTCCAGCAACCCCCACTCCTGATCCAGCAAACCACCAATAAAGCTTTCCTAGGGCACATCGCCTATCTCAGACAGAGACCCTAGAGCCACAGCAGTCAGTGTCATGGGGGTGGGAATGGAGTTTCACTTCATTCAAGGTAACAAGAAGGGAGGCTTTTATGTTCTCAGGATCTATTGTAGAGTGAAAAATTATAGATACTGGGTATATAGAATCCTTTTTAGACATATAAAATATTCTTTAGGCTTTCTTTATAAGGACATGGAAAATTTTCTGAAAAACCGAGACATGAAGCAAGTTAGGAATGTAGAAAGACCAGTCACCATTACTGGAACTGGCCTATCGAAAAGAGAAAAGAAAGAATGCAAGTGAACTAGGTGGAACCAAGCTGGGAACCAAGCTGGGAACTGCAGTGACAGGGCAAGGCCGAAGTAACAGGGAAAGACCACATTCTTGAGAAAGATAAGCGTACAGAGAGTTTTCAGCTGACCCTGACTCACATAGGTTGGGTTCCTTTGGAATGTTCCACTATTTTTATGTTATGCCACCTCAACAACCCCTCATTCCCCTCCCCATTCCTTGGTTTGTGGTTTTTCCCCTTAAAAACCCCTCTCAAACTGGCTGTGGGGGTCAATTCAGCTCCTGCGTGGGCATACGAATTGACCGACAGCTAGCTGTCACGCCCTAATAAACCTCACAATTGCTCCAATTGCTCCGGTACATGGTGTCTCGAGCAGATTACTGGGTGGTCGCGACTTTCTGAGACTTGAGTGAGGGTCTCCCCTCTGTGGAGGTCTTCACTATGAAAGCTACAAAAAGTAGTGAGTGGTATGAGGTGCCACTTGGCCGTCCATAGCTAGCTGTGACTACAGCAGACACTTTGATCACTGAGTAGTAGACCTCACTCTCCAGCATACCCAGTCCCCAGGTTCCTAGGCAATACCCCCAACCCCATCCCATGGGGACTCAACATGGCTATGACTATAGCGAAAAATATCCATCTTCATAGAACTAAACTCCTGAAATCAATGGATGAATGCTGAGTTTTTGTTAGTTACCAAACAACTTCCTTAAATCTCATGTTAGAAAGCTGTTCTTTAACATTTTAAATATTTTCACTCTAATTTCATCAACTAAATGTTTTTTAAATTTTAATAAAGAATTGTCAAATTATTAACTGTATTAAGGCTTTTGCCCATAAATTATATGTATGTATGTATGTATGTATGTATGTATGTATGTATGTATGTGTGTGTGTATGTGGAGAGCCTTTGAGGCTGCTTGGCAGGAATCCAACATTGGCCAAGGACAAGGAAATCGGCTTTAGGCAGGAATCTGACTTTGGGCCATGACAAGGAAGTAAGTTCAGGCAGGAGTCTACTTTTAGGCTAAAACAGAAAAGTAATTTCAGTCAGGAATCCAAGTCTTAGGCTAAAACAAAGAGGTAGGCCTCAGGCTTGAATATGACTGTGGGCTAGGACAGGGAAGTAGGCTCAGATACTTTGTCATCCTGATGAGCCCTTAGGAAACAGCGATCATGAGAGTGATCATGGGGTGAACCGGTTGGTTGACTGAGCGGGCTTGGTCATATGTATGAAACCTTGTCTAGATTTAAGGTTTGCTTTTAGAGAAATGTCTTGTTTTTTATATGAAATCAACAATCAAATTATTGCTGACTTTCAATTTTTATTGCTAAGAATTCCTAGTTCTCCAGACAAAGCAAGATCTCTATGTTCTCATACAGCAGTCAGGGATAGCTCAGGATGTCTGACCATCTTATTCCAAAACTCCTGAAAATAAAACCTGTTTCCTGCTTATAGTTTTCTCCATCTCCTTTCTGTTCTCCTTCCCTCCAAGTGAAACAACTCCAAAATGATAAAACCTTGAAAGA